TTACTAAGTATTTTGTTAAATCACATATAAGTGTGACAGCATACTCATTGCCATTATCAGTTTTAGGTAATGGGCCGATGGTATCTACCAATACTGTGTCAAAAGAGCCTGTTGGCGTATCAGTAATTGTCATTGGTAATTTTGTATGATTATGAATTTTTGATTTTTGACATTTCTGACATGATTTTATAAATCTTGATATATCTTTGGTCATGTTTGGCCAATAGAAATGTCTTTTAATTTTTTGTAATGTTTTTGTTATTCCGCAGTGTCCACCTTCCACTGCGTCATCATGATAATTTTTTAAAATTTTTCTTTTTTCTTCCTCTTTTACCAGTTTGGTCACCTTTGGCAGTAGCGCTACTGTTAAATTTTTCAATAATTTATTGCCCTTGGCCTTAAATTCATTTACTGAGACAAATTCGAAAATTTTCTCACTAGGTGCCATTTGTACTTTGTTGATGCGATGTTTGCACGTTAATTTCTCTAACCTTGAGAATAATTTTCCTAAGTCAATTTTCTCATTGACAAACAGATCATCAGTTATTATTTTTTCAATAATTCTATTTCCACGTTTTAAATAACAGTGGTTGGAAGTCAATTTCAATTTTATTTGTTTTCTGACGTCAGTACTATTAATGACTTTATATATATGGGGCTTTTCGTACTTTAATTGTTGGTCGAGGGTATTTATTTCTTTATTTTGTTTGGTGGTTGATCGAGTTCTCATTTTGAGAATCTTTATAGATTTTTCATTCATATCTTTAAAATCGTCTATCGTTATTCTCTATAGATCATCGGCAATATAATTTTCTTTGCCTCTGAGATACTCCACTGTGAAATCGTATTCTTCGAGATCTAATCTTATTCGAGTTAGTTTTGAACTCGGGTTTTTCATTGAGAAAAGGTGGGTTAATGGGCGATGGTCGGTCTTATTTAAGAAATGTGTACCATATGTTATATATATGGTCTAAAATGTGTTATAGCCCAATGAATTGCAGTAAGTTCTTGTTCAATGGTTGACTTGTTACTTTCTCCTTGAGTAAAAGTCTTTGAAGCGTAGGAGACTGGAAGTTGTCTACCATCATGCTCTTGGCTGAGTACTGCACCACAAGCATGCTTGCTTGCATCAGTAGTGATACAAAATGGTTTTTTAAAATCTGGATACTGTTAAATAGTTGGATTCATAAGTTCATTTTTTAGATAATCAAATGCTTTTTGGCAATCTTGTGTCCATTGAAATGGAACGTTTTTTTTTGTTAATCTCGTAATATGTCGAGAATAATCAGAAAAATTTTTTATGAATCTTCTGTAGTACTTACAAAAAGCAACAAATCGTCGTGCTCCATCAGCATCAGTCGGTACTGGGTAGTCTCTGATTGCTGTGTATTTACTGTCATCCGGAAGGATGCCTTTGTTAGTGCATTTATGAAAAATGTGCATTTGTCAGCATGTATTTTATATATCCGACATAGTTCCAAAACATCTGTCAAATTTTTAAACATATGTCTTTCAGAACATCCGAGTACAACTAAATCATCTATATATAAAAATGCTTGAGATGGTGTTAAACCAAAAAACGCAAGAGTCATCATACGTTGAAAAGAGTTTGGAGCAATTTTCAATCCATACGGGAGTCGTTTGAAACAATAAGAGCCATTTTCTGTAGAGAAGGATGCAATATCTCTTGAAGATTCATGTAGCTCTATTTAGCTCTTCCCAATTGATCAAGAATGTCTTCTATTCTTGGAAGAGGAAATTTGTCTGCAATCAATTTTTTATTTATGTGGCGGTAGTCCACTACTAACCGCCATCTTTTCTCATTTGAACCGGGTAATGACTTTTTGGGTACTAATAACAAAGGACTATTGTAGTTTGACATTGATGGTTCTACTATGTCATCATCTACCAATTTCTTTGCTTGTTTTTCGACTTCTGTTTTGTGGGTATGTGGTATTCTATAGTTTTTTATGTAGTTTGGTGTTTTATCGCTTAACCTTAAACGCTGTTTGTAGAAATTATTTACAGAAATTTGTTAATTTTCTAAACCGAATATATCACTGTAATTTGTACAGAGTGTCGTTAATTTGTCGTTAAATTTACTAGGGAAATTTTTTGATAATCTACTTATAATTTCTTTAGTTCTATGGTATGAAGTATCTTTTGGTTGTAATATGTCATAATTTGAAATTTTTTCAGTTTTTATATTGTTAATTTTTTAAGCTGTAACTGAACTATTTGTGTTGAGTATCCTTATAAACACATTATTACCTTGAACTATAGTGTTTGCAATAAGCACACCAGGTTGTAATTCTTGGTTTGGCATCAATAAATCTTCTTGTTCTACGCTGAGGTATACTCTCCTAATTACTTGAGATCTTGCTGGTAACATGATAAAATCATTTTCATAAGTGTGTTTAATTGGTATGGCAATATGCTGTGGAAAACATTTTGATCGTAAAACGAGCCATTCTTTATTTTGCATGAAATCGAGTTTACAATTAAATTCTCTTAGAAAGTCCATGCCAATGATTCCATCGAATGGTATAGGAAAATCATCTTGTACTGCATGAAATTTATGCGTTACGAGAATATTTTCAATTCAAAGATCTAACTGTGTAAGCCCTAATGATTGGATCAAACATTGGCCTATACCGCTGAGGTGTAGCGTATATGCATTGAAGATATACTTTGTTATGAACAGCAACATGGAATGTGCTTAGCTAGCATATTTATGTCGCTTATCGCCCAAGCAACAATATCGCTTGCGCAACAAAGTTATGTTATTAGATACATACCCATGCATGCATGCTACTCCATAAACAAAAATATTTTAATGCTTATATTTTAATGCTTACGTAGGCATATGTGCGGTTGTGCACAATACATTTTAAGGTAGTCTTAAGATTGTAATTTTCAGTAATAAAATAAAGATCTAACCATAAACTTGTGTACTATTATTTTCGCGAATATAACATGGCGATCCTGCCAGCCTGTGTCTTTACTAAAATAAAAATTAATGAAATTGAATATTGAAAATTAAATTATTTATTTTAAAAAAAATATATGTGCATTCTTATTATATACAAATATAATTTGAAAATAGTACGCAAATGTATATAAGCAAAAACTTAAGTGCGAAAATATTTCTATGTGCAAATAGAATACAGAGGTGACAACACAAAAAGTTATAAGAGAAAAAAAAAACTATTTAAAATTTGAAACTAATATGTTACCTTAACTAATATTGTAAAAAAAAAATAGTGTAATTTTTAACGATTTAATTTTACATAATAAAAACAATGAAGCAAAACGTAATATAGTGTGATTTTTAACAATTTAATAATTGTGTATTTAATTTTGCATAATAAAAACAATAAATATATATATAAAAATAAATAAAATATTAAAATATTTTTATACCAAAATTTGTTGAAAAAATAACCATGAAAACAAAATTTTCCAATAATAACATGGTGCTCGACTTATAGTACAATATAAAAAAAAAATATCCTTATATGAAGTCGTGCGGAAATACATCGATTATTTTTATTCTGATAATGTATCGATTTTATATGATACAAGTGCAGTCGCGATTAATAACAATACAAAGCAAGCAATGTGAAATATATACAAAACTCATTACGATCATTACGTTCAGCATGAAAACACAGGAAAGCATAAAAAACACCGCAGACTGAAGCTTGATAAAAAGAAGCGTGTTAAAGTTAAAGAATAAAATTTACGTTGAGTGCGGAATACATGGGCAATAAAGCGGTGCGCAGTGATCAGAAGATGGTGGTGCAAAAATGATAGGTATGAGATGTAACCTATATTATATTATATATATTACATAAAAATATTATATATATTATAAAAAAAATAACAAGAAAAAAAAAACAAAATAAAACAAATATAAATTAAAAAATTATCATATTTTGCAGAAATTTGCTAAAAAATTAATTTCATTTTTTTAAATAAATTTATTCTATATTTATATTAATATATATTGTAAAAATTGTAATTTCTTTGAATAACTTGCATTTAAAAAAAAAAAATGTGTGGCACCAAGGCCAAATTTAATAGGCCACAGGCCAATGTAATAAATGAAGTTGATATAACGGAAGTTCAACAAAATATTACCATGTATCTTGTAATAATTATTATAATTATGTTATTAAATTTGTTCATTAAATTATATCTGATGCACAGAAGAACAATAAAGAAAAAAAATATATGAGATCTGTTGCACAAAATTTGAATAAAATTTAAAAAAAAACAAAATCTGAAAACACAAATTTTAAAATACATGTATACCAAGTGACATAAATGGACAAATGGACAGTCATTGAAAAGCAATTAAAACAAGAAAGAGACAATTTTAGTAGATCATTTAAATGTGTTTATAGAAACACTACAGTTAAAATAGAAACTGTAAAAAAGCATTTAATTATCTTGGTAGACAGTTTAGAAAAAGTTAGAACAATTGTCAGGGTATACAATACAAAATTGACAAAAGATCATGACAACTTTGCAAGGTCAGTATATTGGGAGCTTAGGGATAAACTACTAAAAGTTTACTCTAAATATAATATAGAAGAGGATATCCCACACTGTTTAGACAACCCGATACGAATTGATATCAACAAATTATTCGTAGCGGAGTTATCAGAGTTAAAAGAATTAGTTGTTTTGCCTCCTATATCTGAAAATATTACCAATACAGTCATGTCGCAGACTATGATTGAGTTTTTAAATACAGCAGCCAGACTCATACCTGAGTTTGATGGCAAAGCTGAAAATCTCAGAACTTTCATAGATGCATTGCGACTAGTTCAGTCATTAATGTCTTTACATGAGGCAACAGCCGTTAACTTGATTAAAACCAAGTTGAAGGGTACTGCCAGAAACTTATTACTAATGAACTGACTGTAGAAGCGATAATACAGAAGCTTCAATCATCCGTAAAGGGTGAATCAACGGAAGTAATAAACGCGAAGATGATGAATGTAAGGCAGAACAGCAAGTCAGCCAATGCATGTACAAAAGAGATTGAGGAGCTTACGAAATCTCTGGAAAATGCTTACATTTCGGATGGATGTACACCCGAACTAGCATCAAAATATGCAACCCAAACAGCGGTAAAGGCAATGGCGAAGAACTGCACCATTGATAAAGTCAAATTAATAATGGAAGCAGGACAGTTTAATACTTTGGATGAAGCAGTGTCAAAATTTGTAAATAGCTGTACGGAATCTACAGGCAGCACAAATACAATATTATTTACAAGAAACAGAGGATATCGCGGAAGTCGCGGATATTATCGTGGACGTGGTAATTCCCGAAGAGCTAATACCAACTACAACAACTATAACAGCAACAACGGAAATAACTTCAATAGGAGATATAATAATAATTACCGTAGAAGAGGTGTCAGTAATTCCTTTAATAATAGAAATAATGATGGAAGGAATGTTAGAATGACCCTTACGGAAAACGAGGTAACCCCCGATACTCAATAGATAAACATAAAAATGGTAAAATCTTTAATATAAATTTACCATGAATTTACCATGATCAACCATGAACAGTGGAATATCTACATTTTTAGTAGACACTGGTGCGGACATTTCGTTAATAAAACTAGGACAAGTGCAAGATATTTATATTGATAAAAATAAAACAATAAGCCTTCACGGCGTTGGTCATGATACAGCTACTACACTAGGTAAAGTCACAACCGATTTAAAGGTTGAAAATATACTAATTAAACACGAATTTCATGTAGTAGATGATAAATTATCAATCCCATCCCATGGAATCATTGGACTCGATTTCGTCAAGAAATACAATTGTATACTTGACTATCAAAAATATCAAGATTGGTTAATGTTGCGACCAGATGATTTCCATGAGGATATCGCAATACCAATGATGTATTCACCAAGTGTTAGTACGATAACAATACCGGCAAGATCTGAAGTGGTTAGACAGGTGAATGTACACACTTCGGAAAAAGAATTATTAATTCCACAGCAACAACTCCAAGACGGAATATTTGTTGCCAATACAATAGTAACAACACCTAGTGCATTAGTGCGACTAATAAATACAACATATAAAAATGTTGAAATACCAATTCATTCAATAAAAACTGAGAGTCTAAACGACTATGAAATAGTTACACTTAGTACCATCGCAAACGACCAATTAAAATTGCAAAAATTGTCCAAAAACTTTCCAGACTTTGTTAAGTCTGATTTAACTAAACTCTGTTCGGAGTATATTGATGTATTTGCGCTCGAAACTGATAAAATATCAGTTAACAATTAGAATACCGCATAATCACAAAGAGGAGATAACACGACAAGTTGACAAGCTAATAAATAATGGTATAGTGGAACCTTCAGCTTCTGAATACAACAGTCCCATTCTGTTAGTTCCGAAGAAATCACTCCCAGGAAGTACACAAAAAAGATGGAGGCTAGTTGTTGATTATAGAAGCATAAATAAAAAACTCATTGCAGATAAATTTCCGTTGCCAAGAATTGATGACATTCTTGACCAACTAGGCAGAGCGAAATATTTCTCTTGCCTTGACTTAACGTCAGGTTTTCATCAAATTGAGCTCGATGAAAACTCCAGAGATATAACGTCTTTTTCGACAGAAAAAGGTTCATATCGCTTTAAAAGGTTACCGTACGAACTAAAAGTAGCACCAAACTCATTTCAAAGAATGATGACCTCTGCATTCGCGGATTTAAAAGCCGAGCAAGCTTTCTTATACATGGACGACTTGGTGGTGTTAGGTCGGACGGAAAAGCATATGCTCAGAAATTTGACAGATGTTTTCCATACATGCCAAAAATATAATTTAAAACTTCACCCTGAAAAATGTTTATTTTTTCAACAAGAAGTAACTTATTTAGGGCATAAATGTACGGATAAAGGCATTCTTCCTGATGATAGTAAATTCAATATAATTCTTAACTATCCAACTCCCAAAAATGCCGATGAAATCAAACGATTCGTTGCTTTTTGCAACTACTATAGGAGGTTTGTTCCAAATTTCGCTGAACATTCACGTCTCTTAACTAAGTTATGTAAAAAAAACGCACATTTCGAATGGACCAATGAATGTGAAAAAGCATTCCAATTTTTAAAATCTGCATTATTAAGTCCAAATATATTGCAATACCCAGACTATACAAAACAGTTTTGTATCACCACCGATGCAAATAAATATGCTTGTGGTGCTGTGCTCAGTCAGGAGCACAATGGGTTTCAACTTTCAGTTGCTTACGCCTCAAGATCGTTCACGAGGGGAGAAAGCAACAAATCCACTATAGAGCAAGAATTAGCCGCAATACATTGGGCTATAAAATATTTTCGACCATACATTTATGGTACAAAATTTCTTGTCAAATCAGACCATCGACCATTGTCATACCTATTCGCAATGAAGAATCCATCTTCAAAGCTAACGCGAATGAGACTAGACTTGGAGGAATATGATTTTACCATAGAGTATCTGAGGGGAAAAGAAAACTATGCTGCTGACGCATTGTCGCGCATAGACTTTAATGAAATAAAGGAAATAAGAGAAACAACCAATAAAATATTAAAAGTAACTACAAGGCTGGGAAACAAAAACAAAAAAAGATCAGAAACAAATGAAGAGATTTGTAATAAAATGTCATCAAACTTAAAAATATACGAAGCGTTCAGAGGTAAACCTAGGAACATCGCCCAGCTAGCAATTAAAGCCGATTGTTTAAATATAAGAATGAATAAAAAAAGTGATCACACAAAATATAAAAAACCTAAGCACTAATGGAAAAATTGACTTAGATCAATTCTTTCCACTGCTTGAAAAAATAGCAAGTGTTGAAGGTATAACAAAGCTGCAGCAGTCACTAAATGACAATATATTTACTAATACCCGGGTAAATGAATATAAAAAGAAAGGTAATAAAATTCTCGAGAAAGTTGAAATAGCCCTGACGCCAATTATAAAAAAAATTGTAAATAACGATGATAAAATAAAAATATTACAAAAATATCATGATGATCCAATCTGTGGAGGCCACCCAGGGATCACGCGGACATTGAATAAAATAAGACAGTATTATTACTGGAAAAACATTACTAAAGATGTCACTAAATATGTCAAAAAATGTGACAAGTGTCAAAGAAATAAATCTTTGACAAAAACAAAAACAGAAATGATAATAACCGATACACCAACTGCTGCCTTTGATGTAGTTTTGATAGATACCATTGGACCATTTCCAAAATCGGAAAAAGGTAATTCATACGCAGTCACAATGATATGTGACTTAACAAAATATCTGGTATCGGTACCAATTGCAGAAAAAAGTGCAAAAACAATAGCAAAAGCAGTATTCGAAAACTTTATACTGACTTACGGGCCTATGAAAAAAATTATTACAGACATGGGTACCGAGTATAAAAATAAAATTTTCGATGAAATATGCAATCTATTAAAGGTAGAAAATACTACGTCAGCCGCGTACCACCATCAATCATTAGGTACAGTAGAACGAAATCATAGGACATTTAACGAGTACATAAGATCCTACATTTCCATAGGAAATATGGATTGAGATGAGTGGCTACAATATTTTACATATTGTTATAACACTACACCTTCAATTGTACATGAGTATTGTCCTTATGAATTGGTTTTCGGTAAATCGCCCACCATCTATGACTTTCTTAACACTTTAGAAATAGATCCCGTTTATAATATTGAAGCGTACGACAAAGAAATAAAATTTCGTTTACAAAACGCAAATAAACGCGCGATAAAAGCAATAGAAAATAGAAAACAAATAAGTAAAAATTTATATGATAGGAATGCACTTAGTAGTAAAGTATCGGTAAGAGATTTAGTATTAGTTAAACAAGTAGGACATAAATTAGATAGTTTATATAAGGGCCCATTTAAGATAGTAAATATAGATAATAAAAATAACGCATTAGTTCAAGACAATAAGGACAAAATAAGTAAGATACACTTAGACAGACTCAGACTGTATAATAAATAAAAAAACAAAAAAAAAAATTTTAATTTATATGTATTGAATTTTTAAATATATTTCAAATAAAAAAAAAAACTCCTCAATAAGAATGAGTTTATTCAAAAAAAAAAAAAAATGATTAATCATAAATAATACATTAGATTTAGGATAACATTATAAATGATATTGTTTAAGTATAAATATATATATATCTAAAATTATATGTAAAGTACATGATATTATGTAATTTTCTTTCCTTTATTTGTTTCAAATAAACTCATTCTTAAAAAGAAGGGAGGTGTAGCGTATATGCATTGAAGATATACTTTGTTATGAACAGCAACATGGAATGTGCTTAGCTAGCATATTTATGTCGCTTATCGCCCAAGCAACAATATCGCTTGCGCAACTAAGTTATGTTATGAGATACATACCCATGCATGCATGCTACTCTATAAATAACAATATTTTAATGCTTATATTTTAATGTTTACGTAGGCATATGTGCGGTTGTGCACAATACATTTTAAGGTAGTCTTAAGATTGTAATTTTCAGTAATAAAATAAAGATCTAACCATAAACTTGTGTACTATTATTTTCGCGAACATAACAGAGGGTTGTTACCTCAAATTTATTTACTTCATATTTATCTACATTTGTGATTTTTAGTAGAGTTAGTAATTTATTAGTGGCATTATTAAAAAAATTAACAAACACGCCCAGGTTAAGGTTAAACTATATATTGTTGAATATTGTATAGCTATCTTTGGTGGTATCCCATCTGCAATGTAAGCACCTTGAATTGCTTTAGTTAATTGCTCAACCTCTTTAGTGTATTGGTTGGCAGTTTTGTTTTTCTGTTGGAGATTCATTAATTTAGCAGTTAAGGCTGCAACTGACTCTCCTTTAATATTTGTCTTCAATGTATTTATTATTGCTAATATTGAGTTTTTAGTGGTTATTATTTGTCTAGCTGTGTCTTTTAATTTAGTTTTTATTAAAGTGACTGCCAATCTTTCATGTTCTCCTTTTAATTCATCGACCATTTCGATACCGTCAAGGAAACTTTGTAGATTGGATGCAGTTCCGTCATACTCAGGAATGAGTCGTGACGCTGTACTAATAAATGAGTCGTGACGCTGTACTAATAAATTGGTCAGCTGATTGTGCCATATTTATAATGTTGTACTTTTTTATTTCTGATAAGTCTTCAATTTCGCTAGTTGTTTCCTCAATTGGTCTTAATATGTCGCTATCTTCTGTTACGAACAGTCTATAAACATCGAGCTGGATTGGTTCATGTAAATTATGTGGAATTTTCTCCTCTATTTTATATTTAGAATAAATGTTTATTAACTTGTCTCTGGTTTCCCAAAAGACAGAGTTAACTATTCTTTTATGGTTTTTTGTTAGTCTATGGCTATAGTTTATATTTATAGTTCTGATATTCTCTTAACTATTAACTAAGGTCAGTAAG